TTCCCCTGGAGTGGGGAGGGAATGGGGATTTTGCAGCATCCTTCCCCTGGAGTGGGGAGGGAATGGGGATTTTGCAGTATCCTTCCCCTGCCATACCCACCAAGCCACGCCCACAGAACCGGTAGTAAAAAAATTTGGATTTCACCACTGCGCATAATGGATAATATCTGGGAAAAATTAGAGATTTTAATTCAGGAGGGCTGCATAACAGGCGATAAATAGGAAAAGTCTTAATGTAGACGGGCTTTTGGTTTAGATGGCACTGCTGAAGCTCAGGTTCCTTGTGAATGGAATGCATGGATGGAAGGAAAGAAAGAAATATTCCACAGAAACACCAAGGAGTGGTGAGAGTATAGTAGACAGTTTCCTGCACAACACAATCTAGATATCTGGGTGAACTGCAGTTTGAAATGAGATAACAGTGGGATGCAGGCAAGAGAGAGATTACTGTTGTTTTGTATCCTGTATACCCAGTTTGATGCAGGTTAGGCACTGTCCAGAGGTTAGGCACTGGACAGAGGTGGGCTTCACATACTGTTACAATCGGTTTTCCCAGCACTGCAAATGTGAGCGCGTGGCATCCGTGCATGTGTGCGGTATCACAAAATACGACAATTCGCTCACGTGCGATGTCCACACATGTGTGCGATGTCAAAAACACAGCTATATAGGACAGAATTGCGTCTGGGTAGGTGGGTGGGCCCCAGTGGTGGGTTGCCCCCGGTTCGGACCCAGTTCTATAGAACCGGGAGTAAAACCGGTGGGAGGCTCCGCCCACTGACCCTGACATCATCAGAAGCGATCTGCGCATGTGCAGAAGCAAGGCGCGTACGTGAGAAAAGCGTGCGCATGCACGCGATCCCATTGCGAATTGGTAGTAAAGGTAAGTAGAACCCACCCCTGGTGGGCCCACTTGCAGGTCGCTACTACCGGTTCATCCGAACTGGTCTGAACTGGCTGAATACCACCTCTGGCACTGGGAGACTGAGAGTTCTAGTCCTGCCTCAGGCACAAAGGCAGCTGGGTGACCTTGGGCCAGTCACTCTCTCCCAGCCCTGGGAAGAAGGCAATGGCAAACCACTTCTGATTTTTTAAAAAAAAATTATTACGTTTCTATGCCAAGAAAAGGGACGTGGTGGCTCAGTGGCTAAGACGCTGAGCTTGTCGATCGAAAGGTCGGCAGTTCAGCGATTCGAATCCCTTGTGCCGCATAACAGGGTGGGCCCCCGTTACTTGTCCCAGCTTCTGGCAACCTAGCAGTTCGAAAGCACGTAAAAAATGCAAGTAGAAAAATAGGGACCACCTTTGGTGGGAAGGTAACAGCGTTCTGTGCACCTTTGGCATTTAGTCATGCCGGCCACATGATCACGGAGACGTCTTCGGACAGCGCTGGCTCTTCGGCTTTGAAATGGAGATGAGCACCGCCCCCTAGAGTCAGGAACGGCTAGCACATATGTGCGAGGGGAACCTTTACCTTTAGCTTATGCCAAGAAAACTGCAGGGAGCTGTCCAGGCAGTGGCCAGAAGTTAAGACTCACTTGAAAGCACCATTATGTTTATTCTGTCAGATTGACACTGAGGTTGTTGCACCTGATCTGGACATATTTTAGGATGGATATTAATCAACTACGCCATGGGCAGAGGACAGCAATCCAAGAAATAAGGAGCCTGGAAGTGAGAACTAACTTCCACTACCTTTTTTTTAGCCCGGAGAATACTGTTGGAGACCTGATAGTTGAGTTTCTGAAGATCTATATATATATAAAAATGGTGAGGAATTGTTCAATGTTGTTCCAGAAGTCAGGGCAACAAATCATGGTTTTGTAAAGTTGAACTGGACATGAAGAAATGTTTTCTGATGGTAAGATGTGATGAACAATAGAGTGGTAGATCCTTCTTTGCAGAGGACCATCTCAGTGGGAATTTGAGAGGGTAAAAATCCCACCATGATGATGGGATAGCAATAGCAATAGCACTTATATACCGCTTCAGTGCTTTTACAGCCCTCTCTAAGGCGTATACAGAGTCAGCCTATGGCCCCCAACAATCTGGGTCCTCTTTTTCCCAACCTCGGAAGGATGGAAGGCTGAGTCAACCTTGAGCCAGTCAGGATCGAACTGCTGAACTGCTGGCAGCCAGAAGTCAGCAGAAGTAGTCTGCAGTACTGCATTCTAACCACTGCGCCACCACACCTCATCATCATCACAACCATAATCCTTATACAAGCATAAGGCCTCAACTGCAACACTACCTGTGATTTTATAGACCTTTCTTCATGGATGCCACTGGCTGGAGATGTTTCAACAGAGCCCAGAAGGCCCTATGTTGAAGCACATTTAATGGAGGAGCCCTGCATGGGAAAGAAGCTGGTGTAGATGAGCTCCAAGATAAGCTCCCAAGCCTGAGTCTCTATCATGCTAAACTCTACGTTGGGAGCAGTATCTATTGAGAGGAGCTGACTCCCGTCGACTTACATAGACCACACCCAGTCTTCTTGCCAACAATACTATCTATAATACTACAGAAACGGTTTTTAAAATTTATTTTTAACTCGGGTTTATTATTTTTATAAATAACTCAAGGCAGTAAACACACACAATACTTCCCCCTCCTCCTATTTTTCCCCACAACAACCTGTGAGGTGGTTTTTGTTTTTTTTTTTTAATTTGATTTATATGCCGCCCTTCTCCGGAGACTCAGGGCGGCTTACAATGTGCTCACCAATAGCCTTCATCCTTTTGTATATTTATACAAAGTCAGCTTATTGCACCCACAAACTGGGTCCTCAATTTACCTACCTTAGAAAGGATGGAAGGTTGAGTCAACCTTGAGCCTTGGCGAGATTCGAACCTGCAGTAATTGCAGGCATCTGGTCTTAATAACCAGCTTAATAATAGGGTACCTTAGACCACTGTACTACCAAGGCTCTTGGGTTGGGTTGGGGTGAGGGAGTTGTGGCTGGCTCAAAGTTATCCAGCCTGTTTGCAGGCCTATGATCTCTAGAACTCAACTTCTCCTAGTGATTGGCCAAAGTCATCCTGCTGCCTTTCATGCCTAAAGTGGGACTAGAACCCACTGTCTCCTGGCACTTTCACCACTCTACTAATCCCACGCAGTCTTCTTGCCAACAGTACCATAACAGTACACAAGTGGTTTGCCATTGCCATCTAACGAATGGGTTTTTTTCCCCTTTCTAGCCCATATATCCGAGGCTAGCCGGGTATATTACACTGTCATGCTGCTCCACTTCCCACTTTTACTTGGAAGCAAAATTCAACGACAGTTGAAGGGCCTCCTTCTGAAAAACCCGTGGGAATAACTCGCCAGCTCTCGGCAACGTATGCAAGGAGCCCATCTCCCGTTTATCTGTCCTCTCTGCAAGACCGAATTCACACATTACAGAAGGGAGAGGGAGAGGGAGGGGAGGGAAAGAGAGAGAGAGGGAAGGAAAGAGAGAGCGAGAGAAAGAGGGGGGGAGGGAAAGAGAGAAAGAGGGAGGGAAAGAGAGAGACGGAGGGAAAGAGAGAGAGGGAAGGAAAAAGAGAGAGAGAGAGAAAGAGAGGGGGGAGGGAAAGAGAAAGAGGGAGGAAAGGAAAGAGAGAGAGAAAGAAAGAGGGGGAGGGAAAGAAAAAGAGAGGGAGAGGGAGGGAAGAAAGAGAGAGAGAGAGAAAGAGAGGGGGAGGGAGAGAGAAAGAGAGAGACGGAGGGAAAGAGAGAGAGAGAGAAAGAGAGAGGGGGAGGGAAAGGGAGAGGGAGGAAAGGAAAGAGAGAGAGAAAGAAAGAGGGGGAGGGAAAGAGAAAAAGAGAGGGAGAGGAGGGAAGAAAGAGAGAGAGAGAAAGAGAGGGGGAGGGAGAGAAAGAGAGGGAGGGAGGGAAAGAGAGAGAGGGAAGGAAAGAGAGAGGGGGGAGGGAAAGAGAAAGAGAGGGAGGGAAAGAGAAAGAGGGAGGGAAGGAAAGAGAGAGAAAGAGAGAGGGGGAGGGAAAGAGAGAAAGAGAGAAAGAGAGGGAGAGGGAGGGAGGGAAAGAGAGAGAGGAAGGGAAGAAAGAGAGAGAGAGAAAGAGAGGGGAGAGGGAAAGAGAGAGAGAAAGAAGGAAAGAGAGAAAGAGAGGGGGAGGGAAAGAGAGAAAGAAAGAGAGGGAGAGGGAGAGAGAGGGAGGGAAAGAAAGAGAGGGGGAGGGAGAGAAAGAGAGGGAGGGAAGGAAAGAGAGAGGGGGAGGGAAAGAGAGACAGAGGGAAGGAAAGAGAGAAAGAGAGGGGGAGGGAAAGAGAGAAAGAAAGAGAGGGAGAGGGAGGGAAAGAGAGAGAGAGGGTGTGTGCCCTGTGGGCGATTCCAGCCGTCTTGCCTCCCGTGTCCACGTTCCGCTCGCGCACCCCGCTAGGATCGCAACCACCTTGGGGGAGAGTCCCCCCCCCGCATTTCTCCGCATCTCCCCACCACACACCACACACCCCGGGCCAATCTGTTGCCCGCGTCCGCAGAACTCCGTCCCCCCGCCCCCCCCCCGCCCCCGCTAAGTTCGATGGCTCGAGACCCGCCAGCTGGTGGAAACGTGGCCAGCGGCGTCGGCGTCGGACAAGGTCCCATCCCGGGGTTCCCCAGTTGGCCGATTCAAGCTCCGCCGGCCCCACGGGGAACCCCACGGAGCGTCCCTAAGCCCACCCGCGGGGGGAAGGGAAGGGAGAGGGGAGCCAAAAGGGGGTTTGCCCGCATCTCTGAAGCCGGCGCGAGGCGAGGCTTCCCACCCACTCGGGATCCGCCTCCACGCGGGAAGACCTCCGCGGATTTGCCGGAGCTTCTGGCCCGCGCGGAGGGGCAGCCCGGCTCCCTTTCCCCCCGGCCAGGCGCTCACACACGCGCTTGCCGGCCACGGCAGCCCCGCCGCCTTTCCCCGCCGCGGTCCCTTTAAGGCCGGCCGGCCTCCTGTCACTCCGCGCCGTGTGGGCCGGGCCGGGCTTGGGAGGCGGGGTTTCGCGGGAGCAGCACCGAGAGCGCTTCACCTGCAGTTCAAAGCGGCTGCGAGGAATTAAGGGAGGGGAAGAGACCAGGCAAGCCGGGGAAGAAGAAGCAGCTCGGCGGGCGGGCGAAGCAGCGGAGTTGCCCCGCTTGCAAAGGCAAAGCCGGCGGATCCTCGGGGTTCTTTCTTTCTTTATTTACTTCTTGATTGAACCCAGCCCGGGCTGAGTTGGCGGGGAGGCGTCGGCTGCAAAACCAACCAGCCCGAGCCCGGCAACGGGAACCGGCGCGGAGATGCCCACCGCTTGGGGGATGCTACTTCTCTTGCTCTTCTGCCGCTGGAGCTGGGCGAGGGTAAGTTGGAGCAGCTGCGCCCGCGGGCAGGAGGGCAGGAGGGACGGGAGGGAGGGTGGGGAGAGCTTGGACGCCCGGCACTCGCCTTGAGGGAAGGGACTCCCCCTTAAGCCGGGGCTACCCAAGGACCCACCGCCCGCCCGCCCGGCTTTCTTCCTTCGATGCCCATCCGCCGCTTTGCGGTTCCCCCCAATTCTCTTGCCTTTCTGCACTCCCCCCCCCCTGTGCCGGCGTGTGTATGGGGGGGTGGTGGGTTTCGGCGGATTGCCGGCTTTGCCGGAGGGATTGTGGGGGGGGGGTCCCTGCGTGAGATTCCTGCCTGCGGAAAAAAGAGAGAGAGATGGGAAAGGCGGGTGGTGTGTGGGGAAGAGGAGGAGGAGGAGGAGGAGAAGAAGAGAGAAGAAGAGAGAAGAGCCGGGATTTATGCCTGCTTTTTTTTTTTTCCTTCTTCTCGCCCCCCTCCCCTTTGTTCACTCTTCTATCGCGTCGCAATAGATTCCGTGTGTGCAATTGAGAGGCTTCACGTCTGTCTGTCTGTCTGTCTGCCTGCCTGCCGGCCTGGGGCGGCGGGGGGAGAGGGAGGGAAGAGCCGGTGTCAAAGCTTCCCCCCGCAACCCCCCCCTCGCCGCCCCCGCAACCCCCCGTCCAAGTTCTCGCTGGCTCTCTCTCTCTCTCTCTTTTTTTTTTTGCACAGCTTCTGCAACAATGCTGGCTTGTGTTCTCTAGCTGAGATGCATTCACACAGCTTTCTCCATCGTCTCTCTCTCTCTCCCCCCCCCTACCCCCATCCCCATCTATTCACACAGACGCTTGGAGGACGGAAGAAATCCTTTTTGCTGTGGGTGGGTGGATGGGTGGGGGTCGCATCGTTTGGGCGAATGCGGAACGTCGCAGGGAAAGGCGGCGAAGCCGGGCGAGACAAACCTGAGTTTAAAAAAATAAAATAAAAAATCTCTCTTGGCTTGAGCATCCCGACGTGCGGTGTGTCGGTTTGGAGCGAGCAAGGGCGCGGGCGAGAGAGAGCCCTCGAGAAAAGTACGCGTTTGGTGGAGCTTTTCCACCAAAAGAAGAAAGAATTTCGCTTTCTTCTTTTGTTACCCCACCCCACCCCCCAAAAAATAAAAGTTTCACGGGGATCTCCCAGAACTTCTTACGTGTGTTTCTCGCCTGTGCCTTTCTGAGCCCGTGTCACCCAGCGTGGTAAAAAGATGAGGACTCGGCGGCTTAGGTTGAAGTTGCGCGCTTGGAGGGTTAACGAAAAAAATAAAAATAAAAAAGGGAATGGAAAGGCGTTACGCTAACTTTAAACAAGGCAAGGGAGTCTGGGTGAACTTAACCGGGTTTCATTACATTTCATTCCATATCAACCCGTGTAGGATTCTGTTCGTTCTCAGGAAGAAAAAAAAAAAAGGAAGGGGGGGGGAATTGTCCTCTGGCTGCATTCACACAACATTCTAAACTAGGTTAGTAAATTAACCCTTGTCTGGGCTTTTAGCATGGCCACTGAGCTTGGAATCTGTAACTCAAGCCGGCCGGCTTTTCCTTCCCCTCCTCAAACGAAGCTGCAAAAAAAAAGACCACGCTAAGGAATGCTCTCCAAAACACCGCTTTCCCAGACTTGGTGAAATAGCTTGTCTGAACGCAGCCTTGCTGCTCTTTTAAAAGCAGAATGCAAGATGTGTTTATTGGCTAATGGAGCTCATTACTCATCCCCTGTTAACCCATCAAACCCTCTTTTGGAAGGGATTTGCTTTTTGGGAGAGAATTTGAGCAGAAAAGACGACTTCAGCAACAGAGTGGTCAGTGCGTGGAATGCACTACCTGACTCTGTTGTTACATCCTCAAACCCCCAAAACCTTAACCTTAAACTGTCTCATCCCATTCCTCATCAGTGTGCCTACCATCCCTGTCCTACCGTCCCCATTTATTCGTACTCATTTCCTGTGTTCATGTCCATGTTTATACTTACACCTGTTTTCTGGTTCATGTTTGACAAACTAAATAAATAAAATAAAATAAATAAATATAAGACATTTTATAGGAGGGAGAAGAAAAAAAAAAAACCAACAGGTAGTGATATTTGAAATTGAGTGTGATGGCTTCTGTCAGTCTGTCCCAAACTCTCTCTTGATGTGGTTGGGGCATGATGTGTACCCTGGCAGCCTTCCACATTAGGTTTCCCATTGTCCTCATCTCTATCCCACGGGTTGTAGTAACAGTTTTAAGTTATTGGGATGTGCTGGTTTTTAAGTAGCATGTTTCCCTCTTAAGGTGCCACAGTTCTGCTCTATACTTTCCAAGTGTATTAAAATCCGGAATGATTTGTCATCTGTTTGCTTGGAGGTGAGGTCAGCTGACTCGGAGTGGGTGTGATTCAAGTGTGTTTTGGAAAGTGTCAGAAGTCCTAAAGATACCCCTTTCTTCTGGTTTGCTAGTTGCACTACTACCCGGTCCTTTCTTTATGGCCTTTTGCCCTCTCCTTTAGCACTGGGTTGAGTTCATTTTATATCCATCATCTCTTCCCACACTAGCTTTGCCTTCGGCTTCCAAATAAACCAGACCGGAGAGCAAAACAAAAACCCAAAAACAAAAAAAACCCACCCTCCGCTACCTTATTTGGACAAGACAGGAGGGTGTGTTTGCACTAATCCACTTTAACGGGTATTCTGAAATGAGCTTTTGCTTTAAGAGGCAGCAGCTCAGCTTTTCTTAGCTGCAATGTGAAAATAATAATAACAATAATTTTGGATTCTGTTTGTGGTACGTAGGTGCTAGTTTCACTGCCTGGTTCAATCTCTTCCCTTATAAAACTGCAATTTACTTCCGTTTCTCTCTCCCCCCCCCCATTCTGCAGGATTTAACGTGTTGAATAACCCTGGTATAAGTTTCCTTCCTCTTCCATGGGGCTGTTTCCACCCTGATATTCTCTCGTTATTTAATTTGGGAGATGCGAAGTGGAATATGGTTGCTAGACAGAGACAAATCAAGCTGGAAAAGCTTATCCAGAATCCAGAAATTACACTTTCTCCGTTCCGGCTCTTCAGGGCTCTGATTGGTGGGTGTCTCTCCCTGCTGATTGGTGACATGATCTAAAGCAGGGGTCACCAACCTTTCGGACCTCAGGGACCACTAAATTCATAATTTAAAATCCCACGGACCACTAATATGATCGGCCTAATGACCGGTTGGCGTGGCTAGGTGGGCATGTGAATAGGTGGGCATGGCCAACTTGATGTCACTCGTGTCAAAGGGCGCCTCCCCAGCCTCTCCTTACCCTTCCCCTCCCAGCCACTACTCACCTGCTGGCCCGGGCTCCTTAGGGCCCCAACAGGAAGCAGTTGTTGGAGCTAAGCAGCCACCACAAGAAAGAGTTGGCAAAACAGCTGGCTCAGTTCAAATTGGATCTGACTGAGACGGAGGCTCAGCAGAAGCACCTCACTGAGGACTACGAGCATAGGCCTTCCAAGCAGAGGGAAGACCTGCAGGAGTGCAAGGCCAGGTACCGGTGCCTGGAGGCTCAGCGGGCTGAGATGGTCAGTCAGTTCCAGGCCTTGAGGCAGTCCCACTGGAACATGGCCCTCCGGCTCTTTGCCACCAGCGGTGCTTCTCTCCAGCCTTTGCCCAAAGCCCCACACCAGGAGGCTGAAGCAGACCCCAAGTCGGAATTTTTGCCCCCCTCCGACCCGCACAAAAAGTTCCCAAAGGGGGAGACTCTTTGCAGCAAAACAAACTTCCATTGCACGTATCCAGCCCAGGGACTGTAGTTTGAGCACCCCTGATTTAGTGCAATATAAAAAAATGCAAATAATTTTTCTGTAGACCACCAAAATTTTCTCACGGACCACCAATGGTCCATGGACCACCAGTTGGTGACCGCTGATCTAAAGGGATGGGAACAGCAGCTAACCTAATGAAAGGGCTCAGTCACCTTGCCTGTAATGAGTGGGACATTCACAGAGCAGGGCAAAGCTATTGGGTAGTGGCTTGGAATAGATACTAGATCCAGGATAGGGACTATCATTGAGGGGGGGGCACCTTATTTTATGCTGACACTGCTTTTTTAAAGCGGGTAGGGCCCTTCCACTAAAACAAAAATAGGAGTTGTTACGTAACTCTCTTTGCTTGTTCACTCCTAGTTTCTATAGCTTTAAGAGCAATGTTTCTCAACTTTGTCCATTTGAAGATGTGTAGACTTCAACTCCCAGAATTCCTCAGGTAGCAGAGCTGGCTGGGGAATTCTTGGAGTTAAGGCCCACTGGTCTTAAAAGTAGCTCAGGTTGAAAAAAAAAAACACTGCTTTAGTGTGTGTGCTTGTAAAACGGTATGAACCGTGACCTGGCTAGTTGGAAGAGAATCACCTTCATTGCTCTCCGGTCTTCTGCATTTTGTACGTCTGAAATTTAGATTTCCAGAGCTTGTCTATTGCTGTCCAGGTTGCCTTGACTTCCCTGAAAATGTGTGTTTTGATTTTGTTTTACATGGACAGAAGATGCTTTCCACTCTTCTCTCAAACGGAAAGAATAACCCTTCAGCAGTGGGTTGCCTTGACCCTTGCTTTTGGGTGGGTGGAGAGCCTATCTTAGACGACAGCACAATCTGGATGGAACTATTTTTCTGTCTCTCCTCCCACCCACTTTTAAAAGGCGAATAGAATAGAATAGAATAGAATAGAATAGAATAGAATAGAATAGA